CTCCTGCCTCAGCCTCCCAAGTAGCTGGGACCACAGGCGCCTGCCACAACGCCCGGCTATTTTTTGGTTGCAGCCATCATTGTTGTTTTGATGGACCCAGGCTGGATTCGAACCTGCCACCTTAGGTGCATGTGGCTGGCGCCTTAGCCACTTGAGCCATAGGCGCCGAGTCCCGATTTTCTTATTTTTAAAATTTTTTGTAGAGATGGGGTCTTGCTTTGTTCCCCAGACTGGTTTCAAACTCCTGGGCTCCAGACTACTGCCTCCACCTCTGCCCCTCAAAGTGCTGGTGTCACAGGAGTGAGTCACTGTGGCTGGCTCTGCCTTTTTTAAGTCTTATTTTCTGTCATATTACACTTAGGAAGATCTAAACAATTCCTGTATATGCCCTCTTTTCATGCCACCGTATGTTTTGCTTGTGTAAAATAGCTTAGATAAGCCCCCATCTTACCATCTCTTCTACCATAATAGTCTGAGTCACCACCATCCTACTTCACTTGAGTGATCCTCCCACAATCTGGCTACCCATCATGCTTAGAAGAAAACCCAAAATGGTTCCATTATCTGTAAGAGCCTTCATGATGTGGTCCCTGGCTCTGTCTGTGCTCATTTCCAGCTCTTCAGCCTCTCTGTTCTTCCTTTCCCTGGAAATGCCAAGTACTGCTCTGCTTCAGGGTTGCTGTTTCTCTATCTGGAGTGCTCTGCTCCAAAATATCTGTGTGATCGTCCTTTATTTTATTTTAATTTTTGCTCAGATAGACCTCTTCAAAAAAGGTTTTCATGATCACTCTATCTAAAATAGCATCCTCCATTATCTTTGATCCTTATCAGGCTTGATTCTCAGTACTTTTTGATGTGTTATTTATTTATTTATCTTGTTTTTGTTTTTTTTTGAGACAGTCTTCGTTGCCCTGGGTAGAGTGCTGTGACATTACAGCTTACAGCAACCTCTCACTCTTGGGCCTAATCAATTCTTTTGCCTCAGCCTCCTGAGTACCTGAGACTATAGGCGCCTGCCACAACGCCCAACTATTTTTTGTTGCAATTCTCATTATCTTGGTATTTGTTTAGCCATCTCCTCCTCCTCTGGTCATGTCTTAACTCCATGTTGAATTTCCACACTAACTTAGAGGAGTGTCTGCTTAGTAGATACTCCATGAATATTTGTTGAATTAATTACTCTTTGCAGTGTGGATTGTAGCCTTTCTCTTTCTTAGATTTGAGGCTGTAAATGCTTCAGTTTTCACTATGGAAAACAAAATGATGTCTCTGTTGTTTTGTTTCTCTGTGATCCATCAAGCTTTACTGTTCTATATCATCAGGTTAACAATGTCTGCCTTACAGGCTGCGGGCCTCCCGGGTGCTTCTTGTCGGCATGAAAGGACTTGGGGCTGAAATTGCCAAGAACCTCATCCTGGCAGGAGTGAAAGGACTGACAATGTTGGATCATGAACAGGTGCGATGTTTCCACCTTATCACTCCCCTTCTTCATTTCCCCTCTTTAAGTGTGAACACTAGTGGATTTTATGAATGTCTACTTATGCCATCAGGGCTGTGAAAGGAGGCTTGGCACTAATGGATAGCCTTTGGAGACTAGAGGTACTGGTGCCCCAGCTCCACCACATCTAGCTGGATGACAGTGGAGACACACATCACCTCATTGAGCTTGCTGGCTGTAAAATGGAGTTAATCACATCTCCCTTGATAGAGACTTGTGAATAATAGAGATGTGGTTTTCCATT